TAGCTGAAGTTCTTCACTAACGTACAAGTGACAACAATGACTGCTAAGAGGCATGCCATCTTGTAGATCTGGCAGCATACATTGAAGATAAAAACTTCGTGCGGTATTCCATACTTCCTGCAGCGAGTGCGCCCTTTTACGTTGCACCATGGTGCGTTCCTAACCCTTCGAACCCCCAATGGCACTGGTGCTTCGCATATCGCCGGTGGTTCTGACCAGGGCATTTAATTCGGGAAATATAAAAGACCCAGTAAACACAGTGCCAGCGGTGGCTAACGGTGGCCAAAGATGGCCAGCTTTGCCACTGATTTTGTTGGTGAATACAAGCCAAACATAGCATTTGTTTCATAAAAGCCTTCTGACAATGGCCAGGCTTTCCCTCGACCGGTTAAAACATCTGGTAGCTGAAGTTCTTCACTAACGTACAAGTGACAACAATGACTGCTAAGAGGCATGCCATCTTGTAGATCTGGCAGCATACATTGAAGATAAAAACTTCGTGCGGTATTCCATACTTCCTGCAGCGAGTGCGCCCTTTTACGTTGCACCATGGTGCGTTCCTAACCCTTCGAACCCCCAATGGCACTGGTGCTTCGCATATCGCCGGTGGTTCTGACCAGGGCATTTAATTCGGGAAATATAAAAGACCCAGTAAACACAGTGCCAGCGGTGGCTAACGGTGGCCAAAGATGGCCAGCTTTGCCACTGATTTTGTTGGTGAATACAAGCCAAACATAGCATTTGTTTCATAAAAGCCTTCTGAAAACAAATGTAACAGGATACTCTGGATATTGGAGGTCTATTTACGAAGTAATTTTTGAAACTGATTTGTTTGAATGCACCACCGAAATTTTTGGGTTGCCACCTTTGGTCGCTTTTAACCACCGGTGGAGCCATCGGTGGAAAGTGTAACATGCCACCCCTATTTGCCACCTCTTGCCACCGGTGGTACCGCGGTGACGGGTTTACTGGGTGGGCACTGTTGTTTTCTGCTAGTTTCTGCTTGACTGGACAAGTCCCGGTTTTGTCATTTAGCTTGCAGAGCTAAAAACTACAGACAGCGAAAAAAGAAAAAGGATAAAAAGATTGAAGAAGAAAAAGGGTCTTTCATCTGTCAAAAAAGAACTTCGACGAAAACCCAGATGGGATGGCCCCAAGACTCTGTGATGCCTACGGCTTATGTCGACGTGCGGAGCTGTAGATGCTTTTGTCGTGATTGGCGTTTCACTACACCAAAACACGCGTACCTACCTACTGCTCCCAGGGGTTGACATAAAAATATGTATGTATATGGTATTCCTATCACTCCACCACAAGCATCCCCAAAGGTTCTTTCTCGCCATTCACCACCTGTTAACTTGAAGCTGATGGCAGTTCTTCAGAGGCCGCTGACCATCTCTTCTACATCCACTTTCCTAGATTATGGCACCGTGCAACCCACGTAACAAATTCCAGATAAACTAATCCATCACCTCGGATGTCCGCTCCCGTCACTCCTTATATGTTTGACATACCTAATCACAATACCTCTGCGCGCTTCTATCGGTTTGCTCTTGGTCTCTTCAAGTTTATATCATCCGTCAGCAAACTCAACCCCTATTTTATCGCTAGTCTACGAATAACAGCTCCATCTCTGTCCTGTCACACTCGTTTTCATCACCCTAATAGTAGCAGACGTCAAGTTTTCTACTTCTAATTATACACATGATCCTATCTGCTTTCTTTCCAAAACTAACCAGACTATTATGATCTCATACCATTCCCTCGCCTTTTCAAGCTTTCAAATTTGGCGATTCCTGGTTTGGATGGCCTGCCTGGTTATCTTTAACCCCGCATGGCCCTTGATCCATATCCACAGGGATTCCCAACAAGACCAAAATCTTGCAATCCTATATCGGCTTTGTTCTGCCTTTGTTTCCTTGGCCACCTTGAAAACCCCGCTGCTACTCGGTTTGGTAGCGCACCCGCAACTATTTCCTCCCTAGTTTTAACCGCACCCTCTCACATACTCGTTCAGTTACCGCAAATACTAACAAACTCTTCACCTGGCCCCAGCTGCCTCCGGGATGCTTTGATTACAATCTGCTGAACATTTCGTTCAGTTTATCCATTTCGGTTCCCGTTTCGGCTTGTGTGTTGTCACAAAATCACTTTCCCAAAGAACCATTATACTCGACTCTACTACGACAACAGTAACGGTAAATCTCTGCAGTTTTACTGCACACCAGGATTTCGAGATCCCTGCTAACGCCTATCTGCACTGTCGATCTCTCCACTCCATTATCCGCTTGTGTCTTTTGCAATCCTGATCATAAGCCAACAGTCCGAGTTCACGGGGCCCCAAGGGTGTTTTTAGGTTTTAGTTTAATTTGACCGGCTGGACGGTGCCAAAGCTACTGCTTTACCATATCTGATGTCCTGGTCCCATGTGTGCCCACATTTCACACATTTCTTGTCATGTGTCAGCAAAGGAGCCTCTCGTTTTTGTTCTGTTTTCGTTTTTGCCCGCAATCTTCAAATCCCAACAACCTAATCTTGCTCGATATTTTCTCCAAAAAAACACTAGGGACTGTGCTTCTCCGCCCGTGCCGGTCCAGAGACGACCATGTCGACACCGTATAATGCCCACTGGCTATGATCCCGTCCTATTCTACGCAGTCCCATGTGCCCACAAAGTCCGCCAGGCATGATTTTTACTGCGCGTAACATTATGAACACCGTGACGGTATGCCACCTACAGTTGGGAATAAGCATTAACAATAATATCACTATTACCTCATCTGTCACACCACAGTCAGAACTAAGACATTTTCCAGGATACGTAAAAAGCTTATCAATTTTTAATGCCTTTCCCTGGATTGTAAGTGGCGTGTCCAGTGATTGTTCGTACACGAGCATGACCTTTGCCTTCGTGGGTGCGAGGTACATACCAAATGACGGGATGATGTTAATCAGTTCATCCCAAACATCTGCGCCTTTTCCTCATCTTTGAACATGAGAACGCTTTTGTCTGGATGTTCCAGATCAGGAAGGCTTTTGTCAGAATATTTCTGAACACCGAGTTTCAGAAAACATTAAAGCGTTCATTTCATCGACGAACGCGCGCACCCCCGATGGACACCACTTTGTGTACGGAATGTTTTGGACAGCTCTCCTTATCCTCTCGTACCATGCCCACCCATTCCGAACCTTTTGTCCTCGACGACGCAAAATACTTCACAGTTGGAAACTCTTGCATCAAATCCATGCCCTCTCCTGAAAGATATTCCTCCAGTATGCAGAGACTAATACTCCGCCTTTCGTAATGAAAAGAGGAAACTTAAATGAAAGTAACTTTTGTCGGACGCCTGTTTTGCTGGACTTAGATTGTTCCGATTGTAGAATATATCCCGGGTAATTCTTCAACAAATCCAAACACCCATCGGTGGCAAAGCGAAAAATGCCACCACAGATTCATCAATTACACGTGGTATGACCCCCAATAGGTAACTCATTGTCCACTGGGATGTAACTGAGGTCATCCCATCGCACAGATAAGCACCACCGCCAGACATTCCACGCTTTTCCTGCACGCTCTGTGCTACCTTAGTTTTGCACAAGTTAGCCAGTGCACGTCCCCAATAATCGCATGTGCCGGCCCACGTTCGCATTGACCCCATACCTTTTATCTGTACCTGAATATGCATTAGCCTTTTTTAAAGTGAGCGGTGTCGTTTCGCTAAAGCTGTTAGTAATTGTGGCCACTTTTGGCTGCCTGCAATTCCCTGCAGAATAGCTCATATCATAGTACTTTTTCAGCAAACATTTTTGACACTTTTTTCTGTTTTGCGTCGCCATTATAGACATAGCTGTCTTATTGCCCAGTTTGAATGGCAGCAGTGAACCGCCATGCGCCCCCGGTTTGCTCAAGAGTGTTTTTGATTCGTGATGGTCTTATTTCTCACGATTTCTTGGGCAATCCTAACTGCGGTAACAACCCAGGATGGCTCAACCAAGAGGTTCAACTACGGTGCTGTCCGCTGACCAAAGTACGACGTCGTGATGGTGTCCATAACAAGTCTGATGGCTTGTCCATAGCCCACCATAAACCGAATGTTTCCTCGACCGGGCGTGTTGCATTTGCTCACAGAACCGTCTCAATCCGGTGAAAACGTGCCAGAAACTCAAAAAGCACTGGTCGTCCTATTGTGCTGTCTGCTTAATTTGTCAACAAACCCAACAGTACTGGCACAACCAAGGGGTCAGTAAACGGTAAATATAAGGCCTTGCCGCGTATCCAAAGTAGCGTGCACTGACCATCATAAAAAATTTGCGAGCCATGACAAATTCTCTGGCTTAGTTGACGTGGCGCACGCCGCAACGGCAGAAGACTTTTTCTATACAGGCTGCGAATAGTTACCCCAATTTGAGTTTGCGCGAGCGTAATTATTGTCCATGTGGTCTTGAGATTAGTTCCAAATCTAATGCGCATGAAGAAACCAGCTTTTACTTAAATCCTCTCACCGTCTTCATGGAGATATCACGTGATGCGAATAGCATTCATTCAAATATGAATTCGCCGCCAGTAGCGGACTTCGAGTGCGTTTAAGCAACTTATTACACAAACACGGCCGCAAATTCAAATTTTGGGGGTACAAACAAACACCACTAAATACTAAAACTTTGTCAAAGATTTTTTCTTCAAACCACGGTTTCGGAGTAACCTGGGGTGTGCCTCCACAGATTCAACACGGATTTCTCTCAGACCGTGCTTGCTCGGTCTGATCGTATTCACGACCAGCTTCACCCAAGCCACAGACGAGAGATTCATATCGGATGTATAATTTTTCGAGTGCTCAAAAGCGTTCAATTGAGACACGCACGTTCCTTTGCTCCGCAAACTTGATGATTCAAGAGAAACTTCTACACTGTACTAAAGCGTTCTTATCAGATAAAACATTCCGGTTGAAAGTAGACTCGACCTACTATTCCCGGCGCTGATCCCTATTGAAGTTTCTCAGGGCTCCGTTTTGCGGCCAACCCTGTTTCTGATGTACGTCAACGAACTTCCAGATGCTCGTGCGAGCCTACGTCTTCTTTCTGAGGGCAGCTTGAAATCCTGTCTGTATAATGCCAGTGTCCTTCAAATGGATGGAGACGCTGCCAAGCCGTGGTCGTTGGATTGGCACTGTCTTCTGAATGACGAAAGGTGCGTACATATTTCGCTCGGAGGAGACTTAGCAAACGTCTTCCTCGTGCGTGGTGGGAATGGATCAGAAAACATCAAGAAGACAGATGCCAAAAGGATTCGGGCATCTGGCGCCCTTCAGACATGAACTTCTTAGTGCGCCATGCGGAATCGTCTCAAAAGGCGTTCGGCATTCTACGGATGATTCAGCGCACCCTCTCCCGTAATGCTCGCATGGACTTCCAAATATTTATGAGACCTACATCAGACCGATTATATAACATGTCAGCCAACTTGTCTACACTCAATGCAAGAATGACGTAGCCCTCATTGGGCGTGTCCAACAGGTTGCTACGAAAATTATTACTGGCTTTAAATCCGCGGACTATGAAACGCGTCTCGCGGTGATTGACCTCTTCCTGCTCCAAAACATGCTTCTCACTTATGCCCAGTTTGAACAGCGTTCGGCCAGCAGATTTTCCGCCGTTGATCCGGCAAACACGTGGCGGGGACATGATAGGATTTTAAAGCTCTGCGAACAATTTCATTAGGCGAAATTCGTTCCCATTTGGGGTAGTTGCTGCGTAGAATAACCTCCGGTGGTTGCCCACGCTCCATTTGGAACCCAGTTCAAAGTACAATAAGACACTTTTTCATGCGAGTCCTCGTTCTGTAAAGCTTACTACTTCACGCTGAAAACATAAACAGCAGTCCTACATCTTTTGCTAATGCCTTCAGGCGAGCGTGTAGTATACGGTGTCTGTCAGTTCGATTGATTTATATGTAATTATTGGTGATGTACAACCTTGCTTACCGGGCTTCGGCTCATGAGCTCTGTTTCTGTTTTCCATTCACAGAAATCGTCATGAGCACCTGCCTTCGGAGAATCGCTGTCGTTTGCTACTTCCATAACGTGCATATTACATATTTGGCGACCACGCCAGGATGGTTACCACACACTGATGGACCTACCACAAAGATTCCGACTCTACATCTGTGCATACAGGCCTCAGAGCTGGCACGTTGCTTACTGACCCACACAACAACTTCCACACGCGCTCACCAGCCTCACGCACCACCCCACTGGCACCGGCCGGTTCACGAAGGCCATGGTACACCAAGGACGGCGTTCTCCAAAAAGGCGGGCTAGTGTAGTATACGGTGTCTGTCAGTCTTATTTATTTATATGTAACTACCGCTGATGTAAAATCTTGCTTACTGGGCTTCGGCTCATGAGCTCCGTTTCTGTTTTTCATCCACAGAAATTGTCTGCAGCCAAACAAGCGACATAAAGTTCTCCAGATTAGAAAACTTCTGGCTGGCTTCAAGGTGCAGTTCTCTGCGAAAACGAGCCTCTTGGGAGCGCCACCAAAATCATTACTTCTTGGTGCCGCCACCCAGCGCCCATGACCTCACAGAGACACTTTCCCGGTCAAACCTCGCCCAAAACACACAGCAGCAAATCTTTGATCAACAGCAAAGCTGGTGGACGAAAAGGGGATACTGGAAGAGCTACATCAGCATCTGTCGAAATTTTCGCCCACGGGGAAAAAAATCCGCCCCCCAAAGCCAAAAAGCTCGAGCAAACCGAGCTCCCGCGGAACGAAAACAACCTCGCAAGCGAAGAGCACCCCTAAAAACTACAAAGACGGGAGGCAAACACTATCGCCCCAGAGGCCCCTTTGGAGCCCTGGACTTAAACCCGGTGCAAAACTATTAAGTCTGCT